TCACCGTGTTCTTCGACGATCCTGAACAATCCAAAGGATCGTCCTTTATCAGAAGGGCAGAAGCTATCCGACAGGCAAACAGAGGACTTTCTATGGCTACGGCTGGCGTGCTGCCTCGACACACTTTCCGTCAGGAATACGTTGTTTACGACTCATCACAGGTGAGATCAGTGCAGGGCACTGAATAGTAGCTACAGCAGAAATTCCATATCTGGTTCAGGTGGTGGAATGGCAACAACTGGGTGCCCTAGCTCTCGCTGCCGGGTAGGCACGTTCTTGCAGCCGGTTCAGGCGGTCAGTTGGCGACACTCAGATGCCCGGGCATCCCATACACCTCATAAACCTTGTGGGTACTGCATCGCGCATATTTCAGGTGGTGCCAAACTACTTGGTTCTCTTCGAAGTCGACCCCACAGAGCCTGAGCTGTTCGCCGTGCCACTCTGTGACACCTGCCAGGACTTCCCAGCTGCAATTTGGTGCCCCGCCGACACGGCCAAGTACGTGAAAGCCCACTAACCACTGGTGCAGCAGAATCTAGGCGCTTTTGTTTCCGCGCAACCCTACGTCCGCATACTGTGTTTGCTTCCTCAGGCTGTGCGAGGCATGCGACGAGCGCCTGCACTCGTACAACAAGCTGGTCTCAAGGCACATCAGAGTTTCATTAAACGAGGTGAGGAACCTAGTGCCACCTGCAGGAACGCACCCTCCGAGTGCCTAAAGCCCCCTCAGAAGAAAAAGCCAATTTCGCTACTGCGACTCTTCTGACTTCTCTGCCTTGTCGTTTGCTTAGATGCCCAAGCCAAGTGGACGCTGCAAGCAACATGCAGGAGAAGCGTATGAAATGTTTTGCACAATGTGTCATATTCCTGTTTGCCGTATGTGCCGGCCAAACCACTTTCATGTAGATGCAACGGGCGGCACGGCCAGCAGGAATTCTTCAGGTTAGTTTGGTCAGAAGTATGCTGGTAGGGACTTGTTCTGTTCGTCGTCAAAGTTGCGTGTTAAATGCTGAAAAAGTACCGACATGCTTGCATTATTACGCATTGATTGTTTCTAGGAGCATGCACCTTGATACCACTCTCGCTGGCGTACTCTGGGACTTTGGAGAAGGGCCGCCAACCTCA